TGGCCTGCAGAATGCCTCAGCAGCCATGTTCCCTACTCTTTCTAGATTCTTAGGGGTTTTTTTTAGTCATTAAACGTTTTCTAAGTAAAAGCTTTTTATGCATGTTGAAATGATTATTTCATTTGTCTTCATTATTCTGTTAGGGTAGATTTTGGAAAATAGCCTTTTTTCCTGGAATAAACCCAATTTTGGCATGAAATTTTATCATTTTTATATATTTATTGATTTGATGTGTTAATTTTTAAGAATTTTTAATTAACTTTTATAAGTAATATTGACCTATAATTATCATAATTTTCTTATGAGAAATTAATATCAAGTTTATCCTGGACTTGTAAGTAAATTAGGTTGTAGGACCTCATTTCTTAGTCTCCAGAAAATTTGATGAGATATTTGTGCTATTTTTTATTGTGATAAAATATACAAAATGTAAGATTTATAATTTTAATCATGTTTAATTTTACAATCCACAGTCATTAATTATACTAAAAAATATTTTGCAGCCATCAAGACTGTTTGATTTAAAACCTTTTTCACTAGAAGAAATTTTATACACATCAATGCAGCACTTTCCTTCTTTCCCCTGCTACTAGCACAGGGTAACCATGAATCTATTTTGTCTCTGTGCATTTGTCTTTTCTAAGTATTTTATGCAAATGATACTATACAACAGTTGTTCCTGTGTCTCACTTATTTTACTTAGTCTAACTTTTTCAAGGTTTATCTATGCCTTAATGTGTAAGAAATTTTGCTACCCCCCCATTTTGTTTATTTAGATTTTTGTTCAGCAACACTTAAGTGGCTTCCACATTTTGGCTACTTTAAATACTACTGCAATGTACATTGTTGTTGCTATATGCCATCAATGTGACTATGACTTATAGCAATCCTATGCACAACATCTCTGAACACTGCTCAATCCTGAGCCAATCTCTGATACACCTAGCCTCATTACCCCAGCTTTTGTGTCAATACGTCTCATCCAGGATTTCTTCTCATGTACTGTCCTTCCATCCTTCCAAGCATGATATCGTTCTCCAAGGTCTGGTCCTTTCTGGCAACATGCCTAAGTATGTTTGATGGAGCTTCAAAATCCTTTCCTCCAAGGAGCAGTTTGGCTTCATCCTCTCTAAGACATATCTGTTAGTTCTTTTGTATACAAGTATCTATTTATGTCCCTGCAGTAAGTTCTTTTAAATTTACAAGTCAGATTACTGGATTCTATATCTATTTGTCCTTTTGTGTCTAGTTTCTTTAGCTTAGCAAAATGACTTCCTTGTTTATTCTTGTTATGTGAATTATTTGTGGTGGTGTTTTTTTAACATTACATGATATAGTTTGTTTATCCATCCATTCATCTGTTCATCAGCATTTAATCTGTTCCTATCTCTATTTTTTTTAACAAATATTTTAAATAATGCTGCAATGAATGTGGTTGTGCTTATATCTGCTTGTGGCTTAGCTCTTATTTCTTGGAGATATATACCTAGCAATGTAGTTACTAGAACAAATAGTATTTCTATTTCTAACTTTTTAAGGAGTCAACATTGGTTCCCAGTGTTTTTATTTGCTTTTCTTCACTGGCTTGTGAAGCTATCTCTGGTGGCCTATTGGTAAGAAGCTGTACTGCCAACCTGAATGCACATAGTTTGCATCTATCCAATGCTCAGAGGAAGAAGATGGACAGTCTCCTCCCATGAGATTTACAGCCTCTGAAATCTTGCTGAAGGATCAGCTATAACTTGGTTCTGATATGACGGCACATAACAACAACTGTAATGAACAAGGGCATTTCCACATATGTTTGTCATGTCAATGGGCAACTTTAATATCTTCTTTGGTGAAATATCTGTTCATGTACACTGCCAATTTCTGTTGCAAAATATATTTTCCCCAGTCTGTATGTTCCTTTTTCACACTTTTAAGATGCTTGATAGACATAAAAATTCAGTTTTGAGGTGGTTTCCTTCATCTATATGTAGATCAAGAAGCAGTTACCTGAACAGAACATGGGAAGACTGCATGGTTTAAAATCAGGAAAGGTTTCAGGTTTGCATCAGGGTCTTATCCTATCTATGTATCTTTTTAATCTGTTTGCTGAGCAAATGATTTGGGACATTGGACTATATGAAGAAGAATGTGGCATCAGGATTGGAGGAAGACTAATTAATAATCTGTTGTTGTTATGTGCGATCGAGTTGTCTGCGGTTCATAACGACCTTATGTAAAACAGCCCTAAACTCTGCCCTATCCTGTGCCAATCTCACCATCACAAACACACCTACCCCCATTGCCCCAGTCACTGAATCAATCAATCTCATCCAGGGTCTTCCTCTCCTGTGCTGTCCCTCTACTCTCCCAAGCATGACATCCCTCTCCAAGGTCTGGTCCCTCATTACAACATGCCCAAAATATGTCAGACGAAGCTTCAGAATCCTTGCCTCCAAGAAGCAGACCAGCTTCATCCTCTCCAGGACAAACCTGTTCCTTTTCTTAGAAGTCAGTGGTGTATTCAATACTCTTCTCCAACTCCACAGCTCAAAGTCATCAATTCTCCTTCTGTCATCCCTAGTCATTGTCCAGCTCTCCGATGCATAGCAAGTTATTGCAAAGACCATGGCATGTATCAGGTGCACCTTAGTCTCCAGACTGACATCATTGTTCTTTAGTACTTTGGAGAGGTCTCTAACTACAGACTTTCCCATTGCAATACGTCTTTTAATTTCCTGGCTGCTGGTGCCAAGCAAACTAAAACTATGAACTATCTCAATTTCTTCTCCATCAATTGTGATGCTGCCAATTAGCCCAGTGGTGAGAATCTTTGTTTTCTTGATATTGAGCCTCAAACCATACTGAAGACTGCAGTCCCTGACCTTTTACAGCAAGTGCTTCAGGTCCTCCTCAGTTTCAGCAAGCAAGGTTGTGTCATTTGCATAACGCAGATTGTTGATACTTCTTCCTCCAATCTGGATGCCACATTTTTTCCTCATAGAGCCCAGCCTCCTGGATAGTCTATTCTGCATAAATATTGAAAAGGTATGGAGTCAGGATGCAGCCCTAGCATACACCCTTCCCAATTTTGAACCATGCAGTGTTTCTCTACTCTGTTCTGACGACTGCCTTCTGGTCCAAGTATAGGTATTGCATTAGCACAATCAAGTGTTCTGGGATCCGCATTCTTCTCAGAGTTAGCCACAGTTTGTTATGATCCACACAGTCAAATGCCTATGTTATGTAAATAAAACAACCCTGCTTCTGGAAAATGAAGAAGACTTGGAGCACTTGCTAAAGGATAGCAAAGAGTACAGCTTTCAATATTGATTACAACTCAACATCAAGAAAACAAACATACTTACAAATTGACCAAGAAGCAACATCATGATAGATGAATAAAAAATTGAAGGTGTTAACAATTTCATTTTACTCGGATGCAAAATCAAAATCCATGGTAACAAATTCAAGAAATCAAAAGACCTATTGCATTATGCATATCTGCTGTCAAGAGCATCTTTAAGGTGATAAAGGTCAATGATGTCATTTTGAAAGTTAAGATGCACCTGATCCAAACTATGGTTTTTTAATGGCAATATGCATGTGAAAGTTGAACAATGAATAAGGAAGAAACAGGAAGAAGAATTAACATCTTTGAATGGTGGTATTGGTGAAGAGTACTGAATATACCATTTGCTGCCAAAGGAACAAACAAATCTGTCTTAAAAGTGCAACCAGGGTCCTACCTTAGAGAAAAGAATGAAGAAACTTATCTCACATTGGGCACATTTTCAGGAGACACTGGTCAGCTAAGTCAGCTCCAACTCAACTACAGTGAGTGCTTTCCCCCAACTTTTCAGAAGTAATTCTCTTTTCCTGGTGTGTCCTCCTTCCACTCCTACCCATTCTTTAGTGCTTTTCTCAAAGGTCAGTGATCCAATCCCTTTCCTGAGGTTTTCCTATGAATATGAACATACTGGCATTTTTTATGGCAAAATCACCCTTTAATTCTCAGTAGCATGTGTTTATTTTGTAGTCCCTTCATTTAACTATGTCTTGATTTCAATGACTTTATGCACCTATATAACTCTAAACAGTTTTCTTATTACCCTGTTCATATTTGGCATCACTAAGTGAAATAAAAATGAAAAGTTTCATTTAAAAACAATGGCATAGAGTAGTTATTCATATTTTCCTTAAGTCCCACCCTTGGACAAACTCTGAAATGAACACAACCAATCACCAAATCAAGTCAGTGACTTACATGCTAAAAAGAGTCATCTTTGCTATTTTCTTGACAAAACAGAACCTGTGGTTGGTCAGGTAATTCTAGCTCCTATTGAACTGTGCTTATACAGTGTCTATTGGGAATATTTTATTATATTTTGGAGGAACATTGTTCTAAGTGGTACAGCACTCTTATGTCAATATGCTGTACTGAGGTAACTTGGGGTTGCTGTGATGCTGAACCTTGTGCCATTGATATGTTAAATGCCATAAAGGTTATCCCTGGTGGACAGTGGTGGAGCTCCCAGTTAAAGATAGGTTTGGAAGCAGGAGTGGCATCCACTTAATAAACAACATGTCTCTGGAAACTCTGTGAACTTTTGATAAATGTTGATAGTTATAGAAAAGCTTCAGGCCTTTTGTTCATTGAGTTATTATGAGTTATGCTCAACTCCACAGCAATTAACAACAACAACATTGGGAATAAGATCTTCCTTAGGACTTGAGATGAGATATCACATATAGGGCACCCTATGAATTTGCTTTGCTCATTAAAATCTGCATTATTAGTAATATTTTTTGCATTAAGTCCCTAAAGCAACATGCTAAGTTGTATGTTTATGTTGATAGCTGAATGTGTGTATTGAGAGCTTAATAGACTCAACTTTTCTGAGTGTTGTATTTTTCACCTTTCTGTGAAAATGTAACTAACAGGTGAGATATTTGTAAGTATCTGTACATATGAAATATTCTTTAAAAACACAGTCTTTCTTCTCTTGCAGGTTTCCAGAAGCTTTGAAGTCACTAGAAGAGAAGGTAGGGGAAAAGCACTCATCTCTTTTATTCTCAGTTCATTTTGGAAGCAGTTTGTTGAAACGAAAGTGAACTTTGGACATGTGGGTAGCCTCTTCTTTGAAATAACATGCGGCCTTTTCTGGGTACTGACGACTTGGCACTCACTTCTAGGAATTACAAGAACTAAAGATCAGTTTTTCTTGGGAGAACTATGTGTTCTGCCTTCAAGTATCAGAGGTGAAGTTTTGGGAACTGGCTCGTTCATGATCATGCTACAGTATTTCTTTGAAAAGAGACCTTATTTTCGAGTGAAGTTTCCCCAACAAAAGCATCAATTAAAAATGGTGTATGGCTTGAAGTATTTCAATATCTGAAGAGATGCCACTGTGAGAAAATAGTTCTAGTTAGATTTTTCGTTTTAGATAAGCTGAGATAAAAATAACTTTTGGAAACAATTCCATGATGTTCTATTTTCCCTGTTAGCTTTCCTTGAGCACAGTTGTTTTCTAGTCTCTGAGGTAAGCATACATATGGGTGGTAATTTCTCAAGTCTGTTAGTGGAAATTGAAGTTCCCTTTATTCACTTTAAGCAATACTAGTCTTTAATAAAAACACTTCTCCTGGATGATTTATGGAATCATCACCAATCATCCCTTTATATAGGAATGGGAGGATGAAGTCAGAAATCAAAGTGTGTTCTTGGTCTGGGCGGTGGCCTTTGGGTTTAGTATCGAACATATCCTTCTCTAAGGAGTTCTCTCCAATAAGGGTAACTGTCTAAAAGAAAATGCCAGTTCTCTATATTGATTGCTATATATAACAGATTCTTGCCTTCTGTTTAGTGCTGACTATATGTGCAACATGAAAAGCAGAATAGCCACATTATAAAAATTTCTTTCTACAGCTTAGGGACCCAGACTTTCTATAGCACCTGTACTAATGGTTATTCAAATTGATGGTTTGCTACTCTCTATGGTGCTGGAGGAACTGTAGGGTTGAAAGGGCCTGGGTGACTTGGCTGTAGAATGGATTTCCTGTCCCCATTTGCCATTACCTTTGCTTGTGTACTCAATAGTCTTTGAACTGTGTCCATATGCAACACTATGCTGTGTGGACATAAAAATGAGATATAGACGGGAGCTTCAGAGATAAATATCTTATTGAAAATTACATTTACTATGAGATGACCATGTAGGATGGGAGGAATTAGTTATATGGGAAGGGAAGGGTGGGCTGAACTTTGGATTTGAGTATAATTCCCTTCTTAGCAGGTTACTTGAATGTGAATGCTTAGAATTCATTTGCATTATGGTATCACATATACACTTAACCTTTTGTAGTTTTACTGTGCTTGAGTTGGAAATGTCTCCAAATAATAAGGCTAGGAGAATAAGAGAACCACATGCATTTCTACTCAAAAGCATAAAAAAGGCTGCTTGAACTTAAGGTTCCAAGTCCTCAGGATATTGAGAATCTCTGGAAGATGAACAAAGGTGTGGTTGGCCTGTACTCAGCCCATCTCCTCCTCTTTCTCCACTCTCACGCACCTCTGGTTTTCAGCTCTCACTGCTTACTAACTGGGAACATTTGTTGTGGGCTTGTTCTGGCAAAATTGTTCTGATAAACTATTTTACCTTTCAATCAGCTGATGCCTTTCCTACCTGTTTATGTCAAAGCTGAGTGTTTGAGAGTTCCTGAAATAGCGTCGTGCCTAAATGTGCATCTTAAAACATGGTAAGAAGGAAAAAATGGTGGGACCTTCCAGATCAGCATGTGAGCTGGCTCGCTCACGCTCTCACTTTCTGCTTCTCTCTCTTCCTACCTCTCATCCTTTTTTTTCTTTCATTGCTGTCAGCTTAGAACATAGCTGACTCTATGGTAGGTTTTTCAGAGTCACATGGCAGGGGGTTTCCATCTTTCTCCTTTAGGAACAGCCAGTGAATTAGAACTGCTTGCCTTTGGGTTGGCAGTACAGCTTCTTACCCACTAGACCATCAGAGTTCCCTTCAGGTATTTCAGAATCTGAGAATTCCTGACCTAGGCTTCATTCAGGATTGTTAATCTTCTCCAGCAGAGTATAGGTGAGCACAGAACCACCAAGAAAATGAATAGGTCTGTCTTAGAGAGGATGAAATCAAGTTCCTCCTTGGAGGCTAAGATTTTGAAGCTTCATCTCACATACTTTTGGCACATGGCGAGGAGGGACCAATCCTTGGAGGACGACATCAGGCTTGCAGTGGTAGAGAGACAGCGCAGGAGAGGAAGACCCCAGATGAGATGGATTGATGCAGTGACTGGGGCAATGGGGTTGTGTGTCAGTATCGGTGAGACTAACTCAGGACAGGGCAGGGGTGAGAGCTGCTGTACATAGGATTGCTGTGTGTGGCAGGAGATTCAATGGCACATAACAACAACTACAACATGATACTTTTTGTTAATTATTACTCCTAAAAATAAAAATAAAAATAAATGCTGCCATTTAGCAGCATACATTTCCAGTTGGTTCTTTTAGCACTGACCCCCTCAGCCAAAGAATCTGAGATGGTTTCCTGTTTTTTTTTTTTTGTTTTGTTTTAATGATGTATCTTACTTGAGAATACCAGCTGCTTTCAGGGTTCAGTGATACAAACTGATAACTGATTGCAAATTCACACCATGACTTTTGGAAATACTTGACAAATTGTCAAGTGAGAATAGCTAACATTAGCAATGGGAATGATGTCTGGGCTGAATCACATGGGGTTGGGGACTGTGAGAGTAATACGAATAAATGCACTGCATGTTTTAGACCTGCTCTCTGCCTTATTTCTCATTCCCTCCCTTGAGGCTTACATGCAGCACTATTGAAGTTTACCAGATTGTACCCTGCTGTTCTTGCCTCTGGCCTCACATACACTTTCTCTGCAACCTATAGATCTTGTATCCTGCTCCTCTTTGTCAAATTCCACCTCCCTGGTCTCTTCCTAATTTCCTTCTTGAAGTGCCTGACTTAAGACAATATAGTTAATTGATCATATTGTGAGGAGGGGTTTGTCCTTGGAAAAAAGATAGCCAGTCATCCACAGAGAGGAAAACCCTAAGCCAGACAGATTGGCACAGTGATGGTAAGAGTGGGACATGACAGAGATCATGAGGGCAGTACAGGATATGGCAAGGTCTTGTTTATATGGTCACTATGAGTCATGGTCAAGTTCACAACATCTAACAACATCAGGTTATTAATTTCTTGAAAGCAGAAATCTCCCATAATTCATAAATTTTTCCATACTCCTAGCTAGAGGCCTGGCAGATAGATGTTGCTCAACAATTATTTAATTAAATGGAGCATTGTGTTTGTGCTTGGTTGGGTTTGTTGTTTTTTTTCTTCAATATTATCCTAAAAATGTCCAAGTGAAGCACCACATTCTTTGGTTCTAGAAAGGTATTCTTTTTTTATTACTATTATGAAATTTTATTAGTTTTAATGAACATTTACAGAGATTTTGGGTTTTCATTCATTCATTGTTGCACTGTTTTCTCCACCCTCCTCCCCAGTTTGTTCTTCTCCCCCCCCATGTCTATTTTAATTGTACAATTGCCACAGTGCTTGTCAAAGCCAGTTCTGATTAATCTCCTTTGTCAGTGTGTCCCTTGCCATTCCCTGTCACTCCTCCCTGAGAGAGACTTCACCCTGATTCATAAGGAAAAGGGGATGGCGTATTCTCTTAGCTACTTCCTGCTGAAAAGGGTCGCTGTGGG